GTGGTGCTTGAATTTGTGTGACTTTAAGAAAAGGGTTTAAGCACCCACTGTGGTTTTGCTGTTGTAAATACCTTTTATCTAAACAACCCTCCAAAACGGTCAAAACATACACACGCAGATACGTAGTAGTGCTTGGAAGTGCATGCGTATGCTATTATCATAGCATAGTGAAGCTGTTTTAGCAAGGAAGATATGTGTTAATCTGCATGTATTCCTGAATTTATTATTTCTATCAAACATTCCTATTTTTAGATGTCTGTGTGCAGACATGAGGGAATGGGAGCTACAAACAACCAAAATCTGCAGATAGTCGCACATATGAGTAAGCTTCTCCCATGAATAGCACCATTATACTCAGTGGGGTCACTTCTGTGAGAAGAACTGATCGCGTAACTTCATTTCATGAAAGACCAGTTCTTAGCTGAGCGCAGACACCGAGGGAACAGATTTGAGTGGAAAGAGTCTAAAAATCTCTTTTCCTGCACTGAATTCAAAATAACATTTCTCTTAGTGGAAAAACAAACATAAGCTCATTTTGGGTGTCTCTCTCTGTCTGCCTGTGGGATTGGCAATCCACACCTTCCTCTGCAGATTCAAAGACCTTCCTGCCCCTGTTTACACTCTAGAGGTTATGTCTTAATTACAGAAAGCTGATCCGCTGTAACACCAGTTCCCTCTCGAAGGGAAATTCCTAGCTGTGAAATCCCAGCAAAGACAAATTGCAGGTCTTTTTTTTTTTTTTTTTTCCTTTGGCCAGTCCAAATCGACCCCAAAACAGCCATCTGGGTTTGACCTTGACTACTACTTTGAGAACAAATTGCAGTGCCTGCTCTCCTGAAGTGCTGACAACTATTTCCAATGAGTTATCTTGATACAAAAATCATGCTGTATCACAGCCAAGAGCCTGCTCCTTCTGCCAAGTGGGACCCGTGCCTGGGGGCTGCAGGAGCGGAGAGAGTGCTGGCTGTGGCCTGTCCTGCACCAGAAAGGACAGCCTTTGTCCTAAACGCGTTTAGGTGCAAACCTGAGGCAGAGCCTCAGCTGCTGGAAGTGACCGTGAGAGCTTACACCCCTTGGCCATCCCCGGCAGCTCCAGCCTGCCGCGTTTCCCATCTGCCGGTCGCCTACACCGACGCGATGTGCCTGCCAAAAGCTATGCAGCCTGGCAGCGAGGGCTTTGCACTAACGTGGGACTAATGTGAATGACCAGCGCGATGAAAAGCAGGGCAGGGTCAGGACCAAGTTGTGTCTAGAAGGAAGGGGATGCTGCGCAAAATGCCTCTGCCTTCGAGCAGGCAGCATGGGGACATCGGTGACCTTTAGGCCTTTGGACCTATGGACATAGGGACCGTCCTTCGTCTTGCCTCTGGTACGCAGGGGAGGACTACGACAGGCACTCTGTGTAGGGAGGCTGGAAAGCGAATCAGAGGTTACAGGAGGACGGCAGGAGGATTTCTCTCCCGTGTGCCCCTCTAAAGCAGATTTCGGTGGCAGTGGCGGCACTGCCCGGCAGGCGTGCTGGAGGGCCGGGGAGCCCCGGCACCCCGACGCTGCACGGCCAGGCCCCCGGCTGGCTTTGCGCAGGGCTCGGCTCAGGCGGGCGGAGGGGTGGAGC